GTTTAGGGTTTAGGGTCTAGTAGGGCCCTAAACCATTCAACGAGCGGAGGCACATACGATTGAAAGCCACCAGGGGTTAAGATCATTTAGGGGCTATCAGTGATTCGAACCGGTATTTGCGGGTCTTCGTACTAGGATTTAGGGCTTAGGGTTCAGGTTCTAGGGTTTGTTTAGGGTTACAATCCTGATTGACAGCCCCAAGGAATGGTAAACCCTCGTCCCAAGAAACTCTCCACCCTGCGGATGCTGAGCCGGCCAGCGCATAAGTAAGCCTCAGCCCGAGCCCTAAGGCGCAGCATCTCAGAAATTTCAAACTTGCCGCAGTCTACATTCTAAATGCTACTCTACGGACAGATGACCAATAGGACTTGAAAAGCTTCTACCAGTAAGACTGCGAACAGCTACAGTACTGGGCCGCGGCAAAGCGCACATTTTTCATGCTGCACCTTCAGCCTCAAAAGTACTGCACTGGCCACACCCTCAACGCTAAACCCTAAATTCCCAACACTGCATAATCAGACTTGTGCGTGTGGCTCCCCATACTACATCAAACTTTCAGGCTAAAACCACCTGATAGGAGCCCCGACAATTGAAAAGTTGGGCTTTGGACCACTGAGATCAACCCTAAACCCTAAACCTTAAAACCCCTAAAACCCTGAATCCTAAACCCTAAACCCTAAATGGCACCTTTATTGGGGAACCAAGCAAACAGGCGAATATTGCTGACGAGACTGGCCTGAACCGGCTGTCGACGATCGCTCCCGAAGAAAGCCCCCCTGAAGTACTCTTCAGCTCAAGGTCTTCCATGCGAGGTGGCTTTAGGGATTGAGGGTTTAGGCTTTCGGCTTTTCCTTTTTTTAAATGCAGTGGCCGTTTCGTCTGAGCGAGCCTGCCTCGGTCCAGGCTTACACCAAGTGAGTATCCCTCACCTATGAAAAACATCTCATCTGCAGCCCTCCTCATTGCTCAACGAACTCGGACGATGGCTAACCGAAAAGGCGATTGAAGGGTTTGGGCTTTCGGGTTCCAAGGTTCAGGGGATTTCGGGTTTGGGGCTCCCGTTGATCTTCCCAGATCTAGTGATTGGGGTTAAGGGTTCGGGGATTTGGGGTTTCGTGTTTAGCATGCACGGCGCGTGCAAGGTTGCCGTTTCAGCGCGGCAAAGGCCCGGGGAGCTTCGGAAGTTGGGCTTCAGGGCTGCATTGGGGTTACATCAACATCGGCTTCTACATAGGGTTGTATAGGAGGCTCTACAGGGTTGTAGAGGATTTTATAGAGAGCTGAGAAGGGTTGTAGAAGGGTTCGATGAAAGATGTGTGGATGCCCGGCATGAGGTCTGTGACTGAGAGTTTGAAGAAGATGACAAAACGAAAACGGCGCCAATCCGATTTCCTTGCCACTGACCCTGAATAATTTCCTTCACAGTCCATGATAGCATATGTATCAAGGGGATAGAATGGAGATGTCAGACCAATGCCTGAACATACTCGTTGCAATCCCACATCCTTGCAGCAGGACGGAGACCCTGAGCCTTCGACCTCTCAACCCCCTAAGCCCTACCTCAACCCTAAATCTCTCTACCCCCTTAAACCTGACTGAAACCGCCACACCCCTGCAAAACCCCGAAACTCTTCCCAAAATCTCATATGATGGCGTCACTAGAGTGCTTGACTTAGGTACATCGCTGGTCTGGATGTCAAGAAAAAGAGTCAAAGGCCCGAGCGCCAACGGTGTAGCGCAGCACATCCTCGCGCCCGGTGAGAAAGAAGAGGTTCCACAATTTTGAGAAGGGCTTTGCAAGAGACTAAACCCTAAACCCCCAAACCCGCATAAACCCCTAAACCCCCCTAAACCCCTAAAGCCTAAACCCTCAAGCCCCTAAAACCCTGAACCCTACACCTCTCAACCACCCTGAAGCCTCTGGAACCTTACGGGGCCGCAAAGTGCGCTTTGAAGTAACCAGGGAGAAAAAAGTATAGGGTTTAGGGTTTAGGGTTTAGGGTTTAGGGTTTAGGGTTTAGGTTCATAATGGCTCCTTTAAGGAACAGGTCCCAAAAAAAAAGTATTGAAGTATGATACTCCAAAGCTCAGGTAAAGTGCTGGAACGCTTGGCCAGCTTCATGCTTCCGCAGCAGCGCTTGCTTAAGGCTTAGGGCTTAGGGGTTTAGGGTTTAGGGGTTTAGGGGTTTAGGTTTAGGGGTTTAGGGTTTTCATAAGGGTTTGGGACTTAGGGGTTTAGGGTGTTCATAAGGGTTTGGGACTTAGGACTTAGGCTTTTCGTAAGGGTTTGGGATTTAGGGTTTAAGGTGCTCATAAGAGTTTTGGGCTTCGGGGTTCAGGGTTTTCAGAAGGGTATAGGGGTTTGCGGCTTTTCTAGGGCTCACGCTGCAGGGGTTCGAGGCCTTCAGCTTCGAGGCTCGAGGGTTGAGGGACTTGGGTCGGTTTGCAGGCGCTTGCTCTTCGTTTGGTTTAGGGTCCAGGGTTTGGGGTTTAGGGTTCAGAGGGGTTTCGGGTTTGGTAGGGTTTGGGGTTTAAGGTTTAGTGGGTTTAGGGTTTGGTAGGGTTTAGAGTCTAGAGTTTAGGGTTTAGGGTTGGGCTTGAGGGCTCTCGATGTACCACTGAGGTTTATGCACTTCGACAAGGCGGGGCCACCACTTTCCCAACAGCTTAGCTCCCAGATCCTTGCAAACCTCAGCCCGAAACCCTCGCAACCCGGGGTTCGCTAAACTCGGCTAAACCCTGCTCCGAAGACCCCTACCCAGAGCTCCCAATACCCCTTTACGAAGGAATAGAATCTGAAGCAGGTGATTAAGCTCTTCTTTGATGATTTCTGGTACATTTCTTACGTTCGAGGCATCGAGCCCTCTGGATACCCTCCCAACCCAAGCCGGCAGGCCTCAACAGCCTCGACCTTACCAAGCGCTCGTACAGGGCGAAAGATGAGTTGAAACTCGAGGTCCCGGGCTGTTACCAAAAAGGTCTGGTAAGGGGGATGTTGGGTTTGTTGTTTCTATTTCTCCAAGTCGTATCATCCAAAAGTTGTATACGGGCTTAGTGAGTCAGGGGCTGTTCTCATGGCCCCAAACCCTAAACCCTAAACCCTTTATGGGCTGTTCTCATGGCCCATGTAACGGAGAGAACCTTGAGGGACCCTGAGAGAGGCTTTTGTTCGGAGAGCCTGATCCGAAGTACGGCGAGTCTGGGGACAGGTACTCGGACAGGACTTAGGGCTTAGGGCTCAGGCTATAGTATAATGCAGGGGCCTTAATAATTAGAATAGGGTATTGGGGGTTTATAATTATAGGATACTATACCCCCGAACCCTATTCTAATTGTTAAGGCCCCTACATTAGTTCAGAACCCTGAACCCTAAACCCCTAGTAGGTTTCAGGAGGGTTCTGGACCGAGGATCTACGCCCGAATGAGTTCATGAGGGCACCGGCCCCACGCAGATTCAGGCACGGCTCTAAGTCCCGGCACCTGCACCCTAAACCCTGAACCGTTCATCCCTACACCTCTGAACCCTAAACCCTTCGAACACCCTGAACCCTAAATCCCTGCACCTCTAAACCCTAAACCCTGGACCCTAAGTCCCAGGCGCCCCACCCAAGCCTAAAGCCAGAGATCACCATACGATACAATCTCAAGCCAACTTAGAGCAGAAGCCATCTTCGAGTTGAGGGTTTAGGGTTTTGCAGGTTTAGGGTCTAGGGTTTAGGGTTTGGGGGTTTAGGGGTTTAGGGTTCAGGGTTTAGGGTTTAGGGCTACAGTCTGAGGGGCGGTGAGGATTCTAAGGTTTTGGGTTCCAGGACTGTCAAGCTCCAGGGTGAAGGTTGGCAGGCCTTGGCGCTTAGGGCTAATGTAGGGGCCTTAAGACTTTCAACAGGGTGTTGAAGCATATTATGCTATAAATATAATAATAATAATAATAATATACTAATAATAATGAGCCCCCCAAAATAGTATAGGTAATTTTTATTTCGGCCCCTATATTACTGTAAAAACCCCCAGGTTCCCCAGAATCAAAGGGTGGACCTTGTGTTGGTCGGGTTGCTTCTTATTCTTCCACCAGCAGCGCCCGATAATTTCTTGTCTTTCAATGCAAAACAGTTGGTTTGGGGTTTAGGGTTTGCTTAGGGGTCTAGAGGGTTGCTCAGGTTTAGGGTTTAGGGCATGAAGCCCCAAAGGGAGAAAGTGAGCGCAAAAGGGCACAGGGCTTTCAGACCCTGGGCTTTGATTCGCGGGTTCGTAGCGGGGCTGTGCGCCGAGGCCGTGGCGCCTCGGTGGGCATACGCCTGGCTGCAGGCAAAGAAGCTAAGAGTGAACTTTGCCGGAAGGATATGGGAAGTTCTCCAAATTAGGGTCCCTGTAAGGGTCCTTTTTTATAAGGGTGCCGGACTATTCTGGGGACCTGAAAGCGGACCCTAATTTAGAGGACTACCCATATGTTGGGACCATTATGACCCTTATGAGTGCTACGATCATTGCTAGTCTTACTCGTGTTCTCCTTACAATTATGGCGTTCATCGGGCTTGGGGTTTGTGAAGTTTGTCAGTAAGTTGAAGCAGTGACCAAGGATGAGTCGTGCCGAATGCTCAAACGATGTCGCGATAAGGATCTAACTTTCGGGAGGTCACAACCAGGCTTCGGGATTCAGGCTGATGTTGAGGCCTGCTTGATGGTGGCTGGTGGTTTTGATGGTGCAGTGCAGACACGGATTGAAAACAAGATGCCCAGCACTCTAGGCCTTAAAGCTGTTCTTTCGAAGCTGGCTACTTGCCAGCAGTGCGAGAGTAGCCCTGCAACGACAACAGCAAGAATGGGCCGCCCTGAACCCCGCACTGTCGCTCGGCTACACCCCGAAGTCCTACCATCTAAACCAGATAAGCCTCAACCCCATACTCTAAAACCACCGATCCGAATTTAAGCCCCCCGACACCTGAACGCAAGACGCTCACTAAAAAGTCGGTACATCTGAAACTCACGAAGCCCCTCTACCCTGAAGCCGGAGATAACGACCTTTACAAACCCCCTACAAAACTCTACAAAGCCCTATGAACCCGAATAGAAACCCTATAATCTATAGTTGCCCATAATCCCCAAACCCTCAACCTCAATCCCTAATCCCGGCCTAGACCCTACACCCCCCCCTAAAGCCCTAAACTCTCAACCCCACTGCCCCAAAGCCCACCGAGCCCCTGGGACCTGAAGAGACCGGCGCTCCGATTCGGCCCTGTTCTCAGCCACCTGGGTGAATGGGTTTAGGGTTTAGGGTTTAGGGTTTAGGGTTTAGGGGTTTAGGGTTTAGGGTTTAGGGTCGAGGGTTTAGGGTTGAGGGAATGGGCTTAGGGTTTAGGGCATACAGGGTTCAGGGCTTTCAGGGTTTAGGGTTGTGAAGTAAGGAGCGAGTGAAGGGCAAGGGCCGTGGGACCTTGTAAGGATGAGGAACGGTTTGGGACGGTCTCGGGTTTGGGGGTTAGGGTCACAAAACTCTGCACAAAACCCTATTGAACCCTGGAAAAATAACCCGGAAAATCCGAAACTGCCTAAAACCCTATAAAAACGCTATAAAGCAGTATCAAGCCTCAGACAACCTTAAAACAAAGCCCCAGCCTCTGACCGAAGCTCCCCGTGGGCCTTGGACATCACCTGCTGATTTGGAGCTTTGAAAGGGCTGGATTTGGGGTTTAAAAATATTTGAGGTATAGGGGTCAGGGATTTAGGGCTTAGGGGTTAGGGATTTAGGGGTTTGGAATTAAGGTTTAGAGTTTCAGGGTTTAGGGTTTTGGTTTCGGGGTTAGGGTTGAGGATTTTGGAGGTTGGAAAGGGCTTGGGTTTAGGGTTCAAGCCTTATTTCGGCTGGAAGCCGTTTAAGGGTTCGGGTGTGGAGTTCGGAGATTTGCCCGGTTGGTTTTACAGTTTTAACAGTTTTTGGATTGCGAGGCTTCAGGATTTAGGCTTTAAATCCAAGTGTGGACATAAGCGTTCGGAATCGGAGTACATCTCAGTACGGCTAGAGGCACCTGCAACTTAGAACTAAACTAGCCCTTGAAAGTTTAAGTAGTGTTCATAGTTTTGGAAACTCCTGCGTGCCTAAGCTCGTGAGTGACACAATTAACGAGTTAAGGGCTCAATTGCTTCGGATGCGGCCATTGGGGCTTCGCGGTTTTCCTAAGAGCTGAAATCGCAACCCGCGTTTCTATCCGAGCTAAACCTTTCGCGCTAGACTGTTGGGTTCCAGAAATCGTCAGATCAAAAGCCGCTCCAAAACTAAAACAGCATCTCAACCCGCGAGCCCTAGAGAGGAGCCTCCCGAACATTGTTGGCGAAAAGCTGCGCATCCTGCTTCTCCGCCTGTTGCAAGTTCGAAAGGGGCTGTGTAAGATAGCATGGCTTCGGACTGAAACTCAACTTGCTCCATCCCTCCATGCAATGACAGCGTCAACGGCAGGCCTCCTTGAGTTGAGGTCGGAACAAGGCATTCCAACAACCACAAGCCCAAGTCCGCATCCCTCCAACTAACTCACTGGCTTCATCCTTTTGCGATCCTTTCCTCAAGAGGGTAGTATAGGCTTAGGATTTCGGGGCTTAAGGGTTGCTATACGGGTTCGGTATAAGGGGCCGTAATGATCGGACTAAGGTCCTTTTGAAGAGCGTGAAATTCCGTGTCGATCGTAGAAACCCGACACCACAGATTTGCACAGCAACATGCAAGAACTCTCACACCCCAGTCCTGTGACTTGAAACCCGCAAAACTGAATCCCGGCCTGTAAACCCCAATGAACCCCCAAACTGCATGTCCAACCGGAGACCACGATTTATACCTCGCAGCCTGCGAAGGCTTGTAGGGTGGCAGCACCCGGATGCGCACTGAGTGCATCATGTGTCCCAGGAACCTCAGAAACATCCACGGATTGGCACCGAGGCTCTGCAAGATCTATCGCCAACTCTCCCTCTCAAAAAACAGCAAACAGTGTTTAATGCAGGGGCCTCAATAACTAGAATCGGGTTTGGGGGTCTATCATGGTTATTATGGTATAATAAGCCCCCAAAATGGTATATATAGGTAATTATTTAGGCCCCTACAAGTAGAGTTTAAGGGTTTGGGCTCGTAGTCTGCACGAAGCGCTACGGACCCTAAACGCTTGCATTCAAGGGCCCACTGCCTAAGCTGTTAAGGGAAGAAAGCTAAGAAGTATAACTCCAAGAATTCTTGAAACGAATCCTAAACAGTGATACTCCCTTGTGTTGGAGGGATGACACCTCCGGATCTTGGGCTCTTCGTTCGCACCCAAACCAATGCAGCTCAGCGACCGCAACTGCCAGGACAGACCGTCCACGTGAAAGTAGTTGCACATCCCAAAAACAAGCTTTTGATTCAGCCACCCAGAACTATATGAGCTGCTAACCCTAAACCCTAAACCCTAAACCCTAAACCTCACTCTCCAAAGCATGTAGAAGCTTCAGGCATGTCGCTGCTCGGCCCACTCGGTGTCTCCGATCGCCTGAGATAAACAGGGCTCGGCGTTCAACCAGAACCAGAACCCGAAGCCCAAAACCCGAAGTCTACTGCTCGGGGTTCCTAGAGGCTGCAACACTTCTCAACCAAGTGACATACCTGAACTCGTAATAAAGATCCCTCTACGTTTTGGGGTATATTACCGAAGTAGAGGGTTTTGGAGTCTCTGGGTTCGTGGGGAACTGCAGCTTCAGCTTCCGTTCTGAGCATTTTCGCGGCCTTGAACTTGGAGTCATTGCGGAAAACGGCTTAGGGTATAGATTTTGGGTTAAGGGGTCTAGGGTTTGGGGTGTGGGCCTTGAACTTGGAGTCATTGCGGAACTAGAAGGCGAAATAAACCGGCTGTGCCTCACATGTATAACCCCCAAACTTCGAGTCTACGTGTTTGAAGTTTGCAGCAGCTTAGGTTTGCGAGCTTAAACCCCTAAACCCGAAGCCCTAAACAAGGGATGAGGGTTCAGAGCTTTGGGTTTGGTCTGGCCTCTTGGTGATGAGGAGTGCTGATCTGAAGAAAAAGGGCCAGAGAAAAACGTCCCTTGTTATAGAGGCTTTGGGATTCTGGTGCATGGAGACCTAAATGCCTCAACTGTAACCCTCATCTTAAGTTAAACCTTACGAAAAACCTTCTGGAGTTCAATGATTAAGCTAGGGCCTCCGGGTAGCCCAAAAAGCCTCAACACCCCAAGCATGCCTTCAAAGCTCATCAGTACCTGTGAAACTTGCGTTCAGGGGTTTGGGGTTTGGGATTTAGGGCGGGCTAACGAGGCCGCGACCCTACTACAGGGGCCTGAAATGACGAGAATAAGGCTTGGGTACACTGTAGAGTAAACCTTACGATGTAGGAAATAGGAAATATTAAACTACAAGGAGTATTACAACAAAACCCTAAACCCTAAACCCTAAACCCTAAACCCTAAACCCCCGGCCTGAATCTTGCCGTCGTCGCTTTGTCTGTAGTAGACATTTGCGGGGTCCCAGGATCCGCTGTAGTACAGGACCTCGGGTTTCTCAGCAAAGGGTTTAGGGTTCAGGGGTTTTTGGGTTTTTGGGTTTAGGGTTCAGGGTTTTGGGGTTTAGGGTTTGGGGTTTAGCGTTCGGGGCTTAGGACTTGAGGTTTAGGGTTCCGGGTTTAGGATTTAGGAAGTGGGGTGAGGGCCGAGTGAGGGCTAAGTAGGGCTTCGTAAATTAGCAATAGCTAATATGCCTTTTCCCGATACTGCAAGCTGACCACATTCATCAGAATCCACGAGGCGTAAACTTGCGTAAACCACAAGGCCATAAACCCCTGTAGAACCCGTGTTGAACCCATACAAAACCCTTGTAGACCTTTAATTTGAACACAAGATCCGCCTTATTTGTCCTCCCAACGTTCTATCCATCGCCCGCGCTGTCCTCAAAAAGACGTGGAGATGTGGAGTCAGGGGCCTTTCCTACTGGACATTCGGAAACCCTACACCCTATAGCCTACTCCAAAAAATCTCGATGCTCCTCATCAAACCTTGGACTTTTTCAGACTTCCCCGAAGCCTCTAATGACCTCCACATCAAGGCCTTTGGATGGAGGGTAGTGCTTTTGGGCCCCAGGTTTTGGGTTTTTAGGTTTTTGGCTTTTGGACATACCGTTCAAGTTTCAGGTTTATGGGGCTATAAATCAAATCTTCAGCTTAGGGTTAGGGAGGATAATCAATCTTCAGACCCCCGTGAGCTTCGTGCCCTCAAGCTTAAGATGCGAAACCTCAACCCAGAACCCGGAATCCGAACCCCTTTAACCCCCCCCAACCCTGCAACCCAAACCCATATTTCCTTTGCCCCAAACCCTAAAACCCATAAAGCCGGCACCGAAAACCCTAAAACCCATAAAGCCTATACCCTAAACCCTAAAACCCATAGAGCCCATACCCTAAACCCTAAGCCCCCATCACTTCAACCCTGGACCTCCCGCTCCAGAAGGCTTCTAGGGCTGTGGCTGCGGGCCGCACAGTAACGCCAGGGACGAAGGCCCCCTTCTTGAACCTCGAAGCGGATAAATCGTGGGAGAGGCCCGTTATGGCGATGCGGGAGTTCTACCTGAACCTACCAAGCCCTACTTGTCTGTACCCCAAACCCTAAACCCTAAATCCCCAAAAAATGAACCCCGTCAACGGCCCCAAAGATCCGTCCCACAAAGTCGGGGCCCAAGCTCAAGAAGATGTTGCCCGTTGCTGGTGGTGCCCTGACAGCGTCGGGGGCTTAATATGGGCCGAAACAATTATCTAGGGTTTATGGCTTAGGGTTTAGGGTTTGGGGTTTAGGGCTTAAGTATACTATTTTGGTGTCCCGATTCCCGATTATGATCATCGTATAATGGGCGCCAAAACCCTATTCTAAGTATTAAGGCCCCCAAATTACGATCATTAAAGTTGGGGTATACGGTTTGGGGATAGTAGGGGTTTAAGGCTTCGGGTTTAAAAATATTGGGGGTTGGACTGCTTTGAGGATTTAGGGCTGGGGAGTTGGGGTGCAAGGTTGAGCGGCGCTGAGTTTACTGTAAGGGCCTTAATAAGTAGAGTAGGGTTTTGGGTACGTTATACTATAACTACAATAAGGAAACCCCAAAATCGTATACCTAAACCCTAAGCCCTGAACCCTACGCCCTACACCGTAGGTAATTATTGAGGCCCCCAAATAGTATGGGTAATTATTTAATCCCCTACTTTACTGGCTTCAGGGCTTAGAGTTCAGGACTTGGGGTCTAACTGGACGGCTTCTCACATGTAGGGCTTAGGGTTCAGGGTTTAGGATTTCGAGCGTAGGGTTTAGGGTTTAGGGTTTAGGGCTTAGGGCTTAGGGCTTAGAGCTTAGGGTTTAGGGTTTAGGATTTAGGTTTGCAGCTTAGGGTTTAAGGTTTAGGATTTAGGGTTTGGGGCTTAGGGCGCAGGGTTTAGGGCTTTGGGTTTAGGATTTTGGTTGGCGGTTGGAGGGAGGGTTGCTGACTGTTTCGATTCCATTGCTTCCCCGATACAAACTGAGAGTTCAGAGGTGCAGGGTCTCTCGGGCCACCACTCCAGTCTCATTCCACAGCTACTGCATGCACATCTGAATCGGCCTCATCTTCCAAGATCGAAAGCTGACATGCCTGCATGTAAGCTTGTATATTCACACCCATCGTTACGAATCTGCCAATCTTACCTACCTATCGAGCTATCTGTGAGCATGTACAAACATGCATATAGACACACAGACAGACGTGCACACGAAACCGAAACCTCTAAACCCTAAAGCCTGAACCTCTAAACCTTAAACCCTAAACCCTAAACCTCCAAACCCTAATGTGAGCCCCGACCTCACCGGTGGACTTGCAATGCTAAAGATCAGCCTGCGGGTCTCGGCCGAGGGACCGTCTCGACTTTCAGAACGCACCCCTTACGGTAGGGTTTCGTGCTGTAGGGTTTAAGGGTTTAGGGTCTAGGGGGTCTAGGGTCTAGGGTTTAGGGTTTAGGGTGTTTAGGGTCAGCCCAAAGCCCTATTCTAATCGTTAAGGCCCCTGTACTTGCCTTTGGTTCAATCCGAGAACATGAGTCAAGCCAACAAGTCCGGCCGGTGCGTGGCCGGGAGCTTGGGCTTTGGGGTGTTGGAAGTCCCGTTCAGGGCTTCGGATTTTACAGGGGGTTCTTAGGGTTTAAGGCAGTTTAAGGTTTAGGGCTGAGGGTTTCGGATTTTATGTGGGGATCCTTTGAGTGCGCATGAGCCTCTGGAAACAGCAGCAGTGGTTGCTTGCCGGACTTCCAGGAGGTCACATGGTCCTTGGCGGATGCACAGCGTTCGGTGTCCCTTCTTCTTCGGAGCCTGAGGTCCAGAGGCTCTGCGGGAGGCCAACATGGAAACAGTGTTAGGTGTTTGCACACTTCCTGCTTTCCCCAGATTCTGCATTGTGACCATCACGGTGGTTGCTATGAAAGTGATCAGTCTGGTTGACGCGTTGCAGCGATTACAATCTATACTTTCGCGCTGAGCAGTGTTCTTGATAAGGATCTTACGCTAAGCCATCTATAACTTCAACCACTTAGGCTCTCACACTATCTCTATGGGTCTTGTGACTTTGAGAAGCGATGGTGGTACTGGTGACTACGACTTTAGACCAAGGCTTCTTTGGAAAGCCCAAACGCCCAAACAACTGAACAAACACACCGCAACTTCAATCCGACTATCCCGAAAATTTCGAAGCCCTGGAGACGCCCCTCCTCCCTTCGAGGCCCTGGCTTCGATAGCCTGGATGGTGGCCTGAGAAAGCTTAGAGCTTTAGGCGTTAAGGGCTTACCCTTGATTACCCTCAAACCCTGACCCCCAAAAGGCCCTAAACCCTAACCGGCTAAATCAATGAACCCCTGAACCCCTGAACCGTGGACCCCTAAACCCCTAAACCCCTAAACCCCTCAACCAAACCCCTGAACCCTAAAACCCTGAAGCCCTGAACCCCTGAAGCCCTCAACCCCTGAACCCCGAAATCCCTGAACCCCTCAACCCTAAATCCTAAACCCTAAAACCCCTCAACCCCTCAACCCCTGAACCTTACACCCCTTAACCCTAAACCCCCGCAACCCCCTGAACCCCCTGAACCCCTGAACCCTAAATCCTAAACCCCTCAACCCTGGATCCTAGAACCCTAAACCCCTGAACCCTAAATCCTAAAAGAACCCTGAGGTTTGGGGGAAGGCGCTGGGCTCTTCGGGGTACGGCCTGAGGCCTCAGGGACCGCAGAGCTTTGGGGCTTGGAATGGTTTAGGTCTTCGGGGTTTGGGGTTAGGGCTTAGGGGGTTTAGGGTTTAGGGGTAAGGAATTTTAGGGCTAGGGCTTAGGGGGGTTGGGGTTTAGGGTTTAGGGTTTAGGGTTCAGGGGTACAGGGGTTTAGGGGTTTTAGGGTTAGGGCTGAGAGGGTTTAGGGTTAAGGATTTAGGGGTTAGGGAAAGACCGAAAGCCTTCAGGAAGAAACCGAAGAACCTTAAAACGCGCACACTGATGGGAATGCCCGAAATGGCGGACAATGAGTCAAGAGGCACTATGAAAAAATGAAGGCCCGTGCAAACCCGCAACCCCCTTTGAAAGAGCCCTCAACTAGAAGCAGGACAATCGCACGCATGGCGCACATTAGATCATGGGCCACATACAAGAAGGCGATAATCTTAGCAGCGGTGACATCTGGCGAATGATATGTAGCTCGACTGTATAACGCCTCGCACGGAAATAAGAACTGCTACAGCAACATCAATAACATTAGCAGTTGTAGCTTGAATACACAGGCAAACAACGAAAAGTATCGTACACACACAGCCCCTAAAACGCCCTTCTACACCCCGATAACAGCCACAGAACACTCTTCTAAAGCCAGATTAACGAGGATTCTGACTGAGCTCTCTGCTGCGCGGGACTTGGGATCGCTCCGGTCCACCTGCAGAGATTTTCTAGGGGAGGGGGGGTTATGACTACCCGCAATAAGGCCAGGCTCTGCACTTCAGTTACCAGGGTATTCGTTCTGTGCGCTGTCGTTAGCCATGCATGGACTACAAGGGATATTGCGGGTAACTCTTCAGACATCAATGTCAGGTGCACTTTTCTGTTGGGGGTTCGGGACCCCGGCGTCCAAGGGCTGTTGTAGTCATCTGGGATGCTCAGAGGATGGCGATGCTGATGATGATCCTGATGAGCAGGAGGACGACGACGATGGTGAAGTTGGTGATGGTAGCGGCAAGCATTCTTGCCATACAACCATAAGACGAAAGCTTGATACAGCTGCAACAAAAAAAGAAATGTTTGTTGCATTTCTGGCGACATCGGACATGAAGCTTTCGACAATGTATGCACAGATTCCCCAGAATTCCGTCTTGAGAGACTGATGATATAGGGGCCTTAATAATCAGAATAGAGTTTTGGGGTACGTTAGACTATAATAAAACAAGGAACCCCCAAAAGAATGTAGGTAATTATGTCCCAGCCAGCCTCCAGGATTTGTTTCGAGTCAGGTAGCTGGGCCACAAGGGACAGAGAGCATAATGTAGGGGCCTTAATAATTAGAATAGGGCTTTGGGGTATATTATACTATATTTATGATAAGGAACCCCCACAATCGTGTAGGTAATTATTTAGGCCCCTATATTAGCAATCTACGGCTCATGGAGTTTGGGGAATCAGATGACTAACCAATGAGGCTCCCATATTCGGGTGTTCCATTTGGAGCCGGGCTTGTGTTGCTGCCTCGAAGGGAACACTCTGGGCAGGCCACAAACAGCCTTACTAAATCCATTGTAGAGTCGTCAGGCCCTACGGCAAGCCGTCAGCAACACTACTGCTGCTCGGCCGAAAAACTTTGCACAATTCCCTGGGCCTCGATCACACCGAGGTCAGCTGCGAAGGCCCCGATCAAGGGCACATTCCTGGGTGGCGCAGTTTGTAGCCAGCGGGCGTGCACAACATGATTGCCAAGATCATCCCGCTCTACCACAAGGAGGCTTTCAACTCTTTCCGAGGGCTTTGTCGGAGTTCAAGGAGACGTTGATGCACCATCATTAGCATGAAAGATGCTAGCCATGCTATTACGGTCATTCCAATACTACTGTTGCAATTACCTTCAGTATATCGCGTTCCCTGCCATCCCATCTACAATTTCAGTTACTGTTGCGGTTTGCATCCTTGGTACCGCATATTCCTGAGCCCGAAACCCCAAAACCTCAACGGGAACAGTCGGAACAAGTATCAGCCCAGGTTTTGGGTGTACGTTATGGCTTTCTAGGTACTACAAAGGCGTTCTTACTAATTATTCAGGCTTCTATTATGCATGAACCCTGTCAAGCAGATGCCAGAAGCCCATCAAGAAGTTGCCTGCTTGTGTAAGGGCTTGGGGTCTTCTGCACAAGCAGTTTAAGCTCATCACGATACTGGGTGCGATCCCATCCATGGACACTCCGTGCACGCATACACACATGCACACCTACATAGCTCCCACTGCAAACGACGCACGACGAGCGACGACATAGACAAAGACTGCGACAACGATCTTCACCGGCATGATGGCTATGTTGTTACCCTTAAAACTTAAAACCCTAAACCCCTAAAGACAGCCAGAAAGACCCTACGAAACCCCGAGCCTTCACTCCGGACCGCTTCTGGGACCCCGGCAGGGTGCCCTTCTTGGCGATGATCTTCGGTGCATGGAAGACCGATGCCAGCACCATGCCGTCCAGGTAGCATCTGGGAGCTCTGCAGGGGCCATTCTCTGGGGTCGCGCTTATTGGTTTAGGGTTAGGTCTTTAAGATTTAGGTTTAGGGTGGCGTTGTTGGTGCCTCTGCTTGGTATGTTGTTGCTGGCTGGGAAAACACCGAGTCCAACCTTTGTGAGCCAACTACGCGTTTAAATGAAGGAAGCCGCGGCTCGAATAACTCACGGCTGCCATGCTTGCTGCCATGGTTTTTGCGAGCACGTCAGCCTGAAAACTGAAGACGAAAGACAAAAACACGCCAACCAAGCTCCAGGCGTATGGTTGCAGAGGATGATGGGGGTTTGCCTCATGTCCTGCGGGGAGTATGGTGGATTTAGGGGTGCAGCGTTCAGAAGCTCAGCATGGGGCCTTGAGAGTGATTCCTGGGGTTCCCTACACATATAAAGCCGCTGCATTCCCCAAACCCTTCGCCTTAATTGGAGCGTGAAGCTAGGTGATTCAGAGCTTCGGATGGATTTGCGGTTTGCGTGAATTTACGTAAACCCTAAGCCCTAAACTCTACGCCCTAAACACAAACCCCTAAACCCTCAACCTTAAACCCCTAAACCCTAAACCCTAAACCCTCAACCCTAAACCCCTCAAACCTAAACCCTAAACCCTACACCCTAAACCCTAAATCCCCTCAACCCTAAACCCCTAAACCCTAAACCCTAAACCCTGAGACCCTAAACCCTGAAGTTGTGGGGCTTGGCGGCTTCAGGGTTTGAAGAGATGAAGGCCGGAGGGCTTTAGACTTTAGGGTCTTAGGGTGCTTCACTTCCTCAGGGCTTTCGGGTTGTAGGGTTTAGGATTTGGGGTTTAGGGTTTAGGAGTTGGGATTTAGGGTTTTATGGCTTAGGATTTAGGGTTTAGGATTTGGGGTTTAGGGTTTAGGGGCGTTCCGAAGGCTTAGGCTTAGGGTTTGCTTGGTTGCAGGGCCGGTTACAGCGAGGGGGTTGATGGAGATCACACCAAATGAAAACCCTAAACCCTAAACCCTTGCACCCTAAACCCTAAACCCAACACTCCAACACCGCACCAAATCAACCCGAAACTCCACTACTACCTGTGGACCAAAAAGCCTGCCCTGTTAAGGAATGATAAGCTGCAACCGTAACAAGCCCCAAAAGGTAGGCTTTTGTCGGCTACCGGTATGATTCGCGTGAGCTGAAGTCAGTCTCGGGGAGCATGGGGCCCAATACCCCTCTGAATTTGCCGAGTGGTTTAGGGTTTAGGGGTTTAGGGTCTGGGGTGT